TCTCTTGTCTTACTGCTCTGGCTAGTACTTCCAGTGTTATATTGAACAGCGGTGGTGAGAGTGGACACCTTTGTCTTGTTCCTGATCTTCAAGAGAAGGCTACTAGCTTTTCACCATTGAGAATCATATTGGATGTGACTATGTCATATATAGCTTTTGTCATGTTAAGCTATGTTCCTTCTATCCCAAGAATTTCGAGGGCTTTACTTATAAATGGATGTTGAACTTTGTCAAATGCTTTCTCAGCATCTACTTATAATGAACATATGGTTTTTCTTTTTCTTTTTGTTGATGTATTGGATTACATTAATTGATTGGTGGATTTTGTACCATGCATGTGCCCCTGGAATAAACCCACTTGGTCATGGTGTATCATCCTTTTGATGCATTGCTGGATTCTGTTGGCAAGGATGGGTTTGAGAATTTTTGACTAGTGTTCATAAGGAAGATTGGCCTGTAGTTTTCTTTTTCGCATGTTGTATTTGTTCGGTTTTTGTGTTAGTGTAATGTTGACTTCATGAAACATATTTGGTGATACTCCTTTCTCGATTTAAAGAAAGAGTGTGTGTAGAATAGGCACATTCAGAATGTTCATTTCTGAATGTTTGGTAAAATTCATTTGTGAAGCAGATCTGGTCCCGGGCTTTTGTTTTTAGGGAGGGTTTGTACTGTTTCAATTTCACTGCTTGTAATTGCTATGTTTTGGTGATCTCTTTCTTCTTTATCTAGCTTTGGATGATTATATTATTCTAGGAATTTGTCCTTCTCTTCTAGATTGTTGACTTGTCTGCATATAACTGTTCACATGAACCTCTGATTATTTCTGTGAGGTTCTTTTAGACTATAGAACTATGTGAAGAAGCCATCAAATTGTTGCTTTTCTTTGTTCCGGGCAAGGTTACATTGAGTCTTGGACTTACTCAATTGGCAGGGTATTATGGGTAAACTTCTCTGACCCCCATTTTAGTTAATAATGTAATTATTAACTAAATTAATACAACTGGAAGGTCACCATGAGGATGAATAATGCAATGTTGATTCATAGCACACATTCAGTAAATATGGTGACCTGATGAACTGCATGTTTGCTTGGAGGGGACTGTGCATGACAAGAGATGTGTGTTCTCCACTATGGAGAGCTGTGTGGAGATATCTTGACCTACTAAACCTAGAGCTTCCATATGATCCAGCAATTCCACTCTTACTTATTTACCCAAAGGACACAAAAACATTAATTCCAAAGAGCACCTGCACCCCAATGTTTATAGCAGCACTATTTACAATAGCTAAGCTTTGGAAACAACCCACATGCCCAAAAGTGATGACTGGTTCAAGAAGATGTGGTACATATACACCATGGAATATTACTCAGCATTCAAAAAAATAAACATATGCAATTTGAAGCAACATGGATGGAGCTGGAGGGGATCATGCTCAGCGAAATAAGCCAGAAAGAAAAAGAAAAATAGCAGATGGTCTCACTCATAGCAGGAATCTAGAAAACTTAAAAAAGGGACCAGGAAAAAGAATAACTCTAAGAAAGAAAATATCAAAATCAACAAACAACTATGAACCAGAGACACTCTATGGGGGTTGGAGGGGCGGGGAAAAGAGGGCTTGGGGTCAAAATAAGGTAGTTGTAATTGTATGGGGAATATAAAAATATAATTTAAATTAAAAAAAAAGAGAGATGTGGGTCAAGTCTCAGACCACCACCTGTAGGTACTGTGCCCTGGTCCAAGTTTTGAAGTTTTCAGGCCAAGTTTCCTCATCCCTAAAATGGGACTAATTTTGTCTCATGCAAGGTAATGAGAGAATCAAAAGAGATAAGATGGGTATGAAAATTCATGAGCAATAAAATATTTTAATTTGGTCTTGGAAAAAAAAACATTTTTCTTACCAATGGAGCTTAAAAACTGCACTAATCAAGTTTGAACAAATATGACCATATCCTTATAGAACTTAGGTTTGTAAAGCATTGTCATTAGTGACCTAGTAATGTATCATAGATATTCCACTGATATTTAGAGTCTTGTGACCACCAAGTACCATTTCTTATTAAGGTCTGCCTATGTGGTTTGTGCTGTGAGTCTGTTTAGTGAAGTCCCTGACTCTAGTCCTCCACTGGATGCATACCTCTTAAGCTCTCTCCAGTCTCCTTTCGTTGATCTGCATACTTCTTTCTTTATTTTCCACAATACAGATTCAAAAACCCATTGAAAAAGCAGCTGTGCTTGGAGAAAGCAACTGGCAGATCAGGGAAGTCATTCTTTTTTTAAGCCTTACCCCTAAATTTTCTGCACTTGGCTCTTCCAGTTGCTTATTGCTGAGCAAGTTTCACCACAGTGATACCGACGGGAGAATCCTTTGTCCAATTTTAACTTACTTGACCCCTCTATTCTTGGAATCAAGTGACAAATAAGCCTGTTAATTTTGTGCCCACAATGGGGGATGGGAGGCAGAAGGAGTATTATATGACAAGTAATGATTTGGGGAGATTAGTTTTGCTCAAACTTTTCTTGACACAGCTGGTGTGTGAGAGCATTCAATGAACCTCACTTCTCATTTTGAATCCTGGTTTAACCAATTTGAGCTGTGTGATAGGACACTGCACAGACAACCTTTTCCCCTGGAGACAGCATTCTCCCCTTTCAAATAATTTCTCTTTTATAGTGTTTTTCAGAGTTTGGGCAGTGAGAAATGAGAGCATGGTAAAAGACTTGGAAATTTATTTAGCTAATTATTTTGTTTTATTTTCAATTTTTTTTAGGTCACTTTAGTTTACGTTGTTCTAGTATTTTGAAAATATGGGCTCCCTCTCATAGAGCTGTCACCACAGTGCTCCCACCACCAAAGTACTCATCCTCCACCACCATAAATCATTGTGCTCCCTCCAGCTTCTACATCCCCATCCTCACCACTTCCCCATCCCCTCAACCTCCGAATGCCTCAGTTCTCTAGTGAGCTTCCAAGGGTTAATTCTTAAGTTTGAATCTTTAACCAAAGCTTTGGTTGGTTTCTCTGTATTCCACTTGTAAGTGACACCATCTGGTATTTGTCTTTCTTCCTCTGACTTAATTTACTTTACTAGTTGTGTGCTTGGTCATTGAAGTTTAAGTTAACTATTTTCTATATAGGCAGCTGTAATAGAAATACAGTATTTCAAAATATTTAAGGACCCTCAATTTCCACAGGAAAATATCCTATGTTAATATAGCTTGAACTTATTTATTTTCAATATAAAGTTGTAGAACACCAGATTCTCCTCAAATTAAAATATTCCCAGTTGGTGATTGCCTTGAGTCCAGAGATTTGAGTCATTTTGGTATCAAATTATTTTCAACAGTGGTTTTGAACCCTGGCTACACATTGGACCGGTTTTTCTTTCTTTCTTTCTTTTTTAAGTTTTCAATACAATCCTTAGTCCAATATAGTTGAACTAAAGGTCCAGAGTGATGACTGGAGAGAAAGAAAACAAGACGAAAGAACAATTTTTTTTTTTTTTATCTTTATCAGTGGACCAAAGGCCACTGAGAAGAGAATATGAGTAGATGTAGCTGATTGGCCTCTTTGTATCTCAGAGCAGCATAAGTTGAAATACCAAGGGGTGTTGTTATAAAAGCTTTAGAATTCACCCTCAGTTTTCTGATAAGAAGAGAAAGCTACAATGGACCTGAGTGTGGCCCTAGTGCTCTGTCTCTCCTGTTTGCTCCTCCTTGCTCTCTGGAAACAGACTTCTGAGAGAGGGAAGCTCCCACCCGGCCCCTTGCCACTTCCCATTATTGGAAATATCCTCCAGTTAGATGTTAAAGATATCAGGAAATCTCTAAGCAACGTGAGTATGTTTTATGTTCCTCTGTGGCTTGCAAACGGTAAGTAACTTAACTGCTATTTAAAAAAAGTTCTTGTTTGCCCATCCATTCTAATAATAAAATATTAGCATGGTGGCATGCTATCCAAGTAGGTTTTGAAATTCAAATGCTCCCAGTCATTTTGATATTTCTCTGCATTTAGTGAGTAGACAAACAGGTTTTGGATGGTAGAATTGAAAATATAAAGTGACAGAAGGAAGGAGTGTTCTTTGTTCTGCTGCCATTTGCTCTGATTTTGGTGGATGGTGAATGGTAGAAGAAGTGTTTTGTGATTACAGATTTTATTCCAGAAGTCATCTACTACATGGCTGTGTGTTTTCTTGAGATTGTTACTAAATTTAACATCTGTGAAGAAACACATTCTGTCTGTATCAAGAGAGGACTCTGGGCTCAGGAAGAGCATGAGTCAACCAAAAGACAAAAAGACGTAACCAGTCAGGACCAAACTGTGGGAACATCATTCACTTGGGTCTACACAGCTGGTGTCTGATCTTAATGATTGTTTCGGGGTGGAAGAAATTATCCTTCCTACAGAAACCTTGGCCCTGACAATAACTCTACAGTGCCCACTCCATGTTACTAATACCAGCAGATCACAAGCTGGGCTGCGTATTAGAATTAGCTGAATTGATCCTTTGAAATACACATATCTAGGATTCATCATAGGGCTACTGTATCACACTCTCACAGGAGCACTCTGTAGGTGATCCTGAAGCAAGGAGCTAGGTTTTGTTTGAAAGGTAGAATCTGAATGTATTTGTCAAAGATCAGAGAACCATCAAGAAGCTGAAATTTGAATCTTCTGTATAGTGGCCAAGGGATCCTAGAAATAAATTGAAATCGTCTGATCTTAGTTTCCTTATTTGTAAGCAGGGCAAATAAACTTGGTGAAGGTTCAAATGTGATGGTAATAGTAAGCAATGTGTCAAATACTTAGGCTAGGCCAATCCTGGCACATCCCAGGCCATGCAGAAATGGCAACTCTAATAATCACCATATTGATGTCTTAAATTCAGAAATAATGAGGCTGTGTGGGGCAGCCTACCCAATATGAAAGTAGTATTCTGAATTAGGCACAATATGTTATCAAGTAGTGACTTCTTTTGTCATCTGCACGTGCTTTCCCAGCTCTCCAAAGCCTATGGCCCTGTGTTCACTCTGTATTTTGGCATGAAGCCCACTGTGGTGTTGCATGGATATGAAGCAGTGAAGGAAGCATTGATTGATATGGGAGAGGACTTCGCTGGAAGAGGCGATATCCCAGTCTTAGAAAGAGCTCATAAAGGAGAAGGTATGTGTGGGTGTGACACGTGCACTATGGTTATTGTGATGGGGAGGACAGAAAATGGGGCTTGAAGATCTCCTAAATATTCTTTGTCCATCCCCTTAACTGTCAAGTGTCAGCTTTCTTCTTCCCTCAGACCCCACCCCAGTTTATATTTACCCTCTGTTAGGAGTTGCTTTCAGCAATGGAAAAAAATGGAAGGAGATGCGCCGCTTCTGCCTCATGACCCTGCGGCATTTTGGGATGGGGAAGAGGAGCATTGAGGACCGAGTTCAAGAGGAAGCCCGCTGCCTCGTGGACGAGTTGAGAAAAACCAATGGTGGGTGATTCTCTGCTCGGTCACTGTGACCTTAACACACTGTATTCTCTAGTGTCATCCTAGGGGACACATCAGGGTGGCCCAAATCTTCCATTAGGGGTGGTGGTTGTTAACCCTTGTGTGGAGACGGAGAGTTTGAAGCAGAGTTTGATACACGGAAGCTTTTGTGTACGTATGCTTGTGTGTGTGTGTGTGTGTGTGTGTGTGTGTGAGTGTGTGTATGTGTTCATTCATGATTGTGTGCACAGTGTAGGTATCAAATGTCCTTTCATCTGTTTCTCTCCTGAGGTCTGTTTGTTTTTAAATGAGAAATCACGAGGAATATTTTGAGTCATTTTCTGAATGTGTGAGAGAGCGGTGTTTCATACTGCAGCACATTTCACCAGGGCTGCCAGCCTAGCATGTAGTGGGAGTGACCTCGGGAAGCAAGTGACATGTGTTTTCACTTCACTGGATGTGTTTATATGGACAGAACTCACACCCATATGACAGTCACTGCCCCAGACCAGGTCTGTAGTTTTGGCCAGTAATAATGCCGTCTGTTGATAGATTTTAATCAGGTAGGCATGTCCTTGTGCTAATCTAAGCAATTATGGTTTCTCATTTCATTTCATTAGGAATTATTTTCTCACTTCTCAAAATTCCTTATGCAGGTAATTGCTACTATCTCTCTAAGGGATCACTTTCTGATATTTCTTTCAGACCTGTTCTGAGAGATGTTTCCTGAATTCTTGCATCTGTGTTTTTTTTTTTTTTAAATTTTATGTGGGATCCAACTTTTAAGTAAATGTATAATTTCCCTGTCTTTGTGGATTGCCTTTTTGTAAGGCAAAGTCCTACCAAGTATTCCTAGTTAGATTTTACAGGGGAGGATGAATTTTCTTTATTTATACATGAAGTTTCTGTGTGACACTGTGTACACCTTCACTGTTAGTGAGGCTACGGATTTCGTTGTAATGGGTGCTTGAAATTTGTGCTCTCCTGTAGTACTGCAACTCCTTAGCTGGCTTCACAAAATGTGGTAGGAGATATCAGACTATCATTGCTAAATCAGTGTTTTCATGCGAGAATAATGGCTGGCACTTTCTATTCTTCCAATTTCTTCATGTCACTGTTATGCAATACATGGATTCAAGTCTTTCGTAATGACATCTACAGGGGTGAATTTTAGACCTTTACCTTATACAATCTTTCAGGGGTGATTAAGTTGCCACAATGGGGTTTGCCGATCTCTTATCAAGGAAATAAACCCATTTTCCCTGTATAATTTCTTTACTGAGTGTAGAATTGACTTAACCTAGATCTGGAAAAAATTTTAAAAATCAATGAAAATACTACTATTTTTCTGCTTACTGAACATAATCCTACAAGTTTATGTAGCGTAACTTTTCTCAAGTAAATTAATTGTTTCTGGTGAGTAGAAATGATGGACATTTGATTTCTAGGTTGGAAAGTTTATTTCCAGTGATGTGAAAAAATGAATACTAACCATCAATTTTCATTTATGGTTTGACTTACCTGGGATTTATTTTGGAAATGCAAATTTCTCTTTTGATTTCTGCTTTGAACAAAGTGTCTTATAATATTATTTTTGAAAAATTTATTTATTTTTTATAGAAGAACTGGAGTACAGGCCAAATGTGAGGGAGGGTGAGAGGATTCACCAGAGACAGAGCGGGGAACAGAACAGGCAGACTGACGAAATACACTGCTGAGGGGAGCAGTGAGCGAGACAGGAGAGGTCTGTTTCACAATGTGGGATTCTGGCCGGGATCGAACCTGCACTGCAGAGGCTGCGGACACCTTCATAGTGCGGCGCTCAACAGCCTGCACCACCAGGGAGGCCCAGTGTCTTATAATTTCTATTCACTTGTTTAGTTTCTTGTTAGTCAGATAGATGTGTCCCACTCTTTTGTATTTATTCTTTCAAGTACATGATTTTACCCATAATCTTTCCCTCTCTTTTCTTTGCCCGCTGCTGATATTGCGTATTTTGTGTATTTATTTATTAAACAAAAAGCTTTCAAGTCCTTTTCTATTCCCTCTATCTGTATGGAAGCTTAATCTCTGTAGACTTTGCATGCAAGTGAGGTTCAGCACTGATAACTTTATTAATAGTCATATAAAAATGGTTTTAAGGGCCTCACTGGTGGCTCAAGGGGTTAAGTTTCAGCACTACACTGTAGCCATTCCCAGCCAGGGAGTAACCTACATGGCTCAGCAGACCTCTCCTACCTTGTCCCCTGCTCCCCTCAGCAGTATATTTCAGTCAGTCTGCCAGTTCTGCTCCCCACTCTGTCTCTGCGAGATCCTCTTACCTGCCAAACCTCGGAACTTCACCCCAGCTCTTGTATGCATAAAGAAATAAAAAAAATTTAAAAATAAGTGTTTTCTGTTATTTTCTTTGTTTTTGCCTATTATTAAGTCAACCTGATTGGAAAGAGTATGAACAAAAACAATGGAAGTAAATTGAATATTCAAAATTAACCACTATTTAACTAGATAGGTTGAACCATATGTCCCAGGTTAATGCAAACGTGATAGGTTGATTTCAATTTTTATGATCATTGTTATGGAGACCATGATTGAAAACACTGTGTATGCTTTAGGGCTATAGCTTCACAGTGCTGCCATCGTATGTTGCCACATCATGCTTCCCACCCAAGCACCCTTATTCTTTCACCATGTACATGAGCTCCTTCCTCCTTTCTTCCCCTCTTTTACCTTACTTTCTGGTGGCCTCAGTTCTGCAATTAGATTTCAAGGGTGTGTTTGGGTCTGTTCCTTTGCTTTGTTTCTTTATATTCTCATATGCATGAAATCATCCAGTGGATCTTTCACATTGTGACTTCTTTTTTTAGCATAATCCTCTCCTTTCCACCTATGTTGTTGCATGTGGCAAGATTTCAGACCTGAATACTAGCTGAGCAGTATTCCCTCGTGTATACATATCCCATTATCTTCATCGACTCATCTGGTGATAGATACTTAGGTTATTTCCATACCTTGACTATTGTAAATAGTGCTACAGTAAACATAGAGTGCATATACCCCTTCCAATTAGGAAAGAGATTGCTGGATTATATGGTAGATCTATTATTCAATATTTGGAGTAACCTCCATGCTGTTTTCCATAGATCCTGCACTAGTCTACATTCACTGATATGTTCCTTTTATAAATGATGTCTCTTGCTATTAAAAGAATTTATATATAAGGCAATGAACTTTCTTAAATATTTTTCCTGTTATGTGAAAAACAAAGTGTTTCCCTATCTGTATAGATATATGTGTGTGTATGTATTTTGTTTAATAGTGTTTTCAAATTGTTTCTGATTCTTTAGCTTCACCCTGTGATCCCACTTCTATCCTGTCCTGTGCACCCTGCAATATGATGTGCTCAATAATTTTCCAGACTCGCTTTGATTATAAAGATCCAATGTTTTTAAACATAAAGGAAAGAATCAGTGAAAATCTCTCGATTTTGAGCTCTCCATGGATTCAGGTGAGGTCCTGATCCTTTTTTTCAGAGGAATCGTTTATGTTCTGTTGTCTAAGAAGTCCAAATCTCTGCATGCACCAAGCTGTGAAATGCATGCGTGAGCACCACAGTCCTGCCTAGATAGATTCAGCCTCAGAGAGTGGTCATCTGGGAAAGATGGCCTAGACAATTAAAGATACAAAACAAATCATATTCTCAGAACATAGACCTGAAATCCAATCTTATTGACCCTATTTCATGTTATTTCTACTACACTCCAAAACCCAGATTCCATGTTCTTTGGTAACTTCCTCAAACCATGTCCAAAGAATGAAATAGACGCCAGGTCCTTGTTGAAAGACTTCCATCCCCCAGAACTCTGTCATCCTGTTAACTCTTAAGAAATCTAATTCACATTGTTGGCAAAAATATGCAAATTTAGGAAGAAAAAGAGTATCTCTTTCAGGGAGGAAAAATAGTCAAGACAATAGAAGCTGCAAGGAACACATATTAGGGTTGGGGTGTTTGATGCATCAGATGGGATCCTACCTGTGAAAGTACTTGTTTTGGGGATGATGAATTGATTGATTTTATGGTACACAGCCCATAACAAATCTCACAATTTCCCCTGTGCTGTTCCCATGTGTTTTGCAGTCTGCCTGGTACATAATGATATGTCTAGAAAATGTCACTTCACTACACTTGTGCAGTTACATAACACATAAAATGTTGAGGTGTGTTTCCTGGTATCTTCAGTACTGTCCTGGTCCTCAAGCACTGGTTCTGCGTTTGAGGCTTCTAAACATATATAGAAATGGCAGAGACTAACTATGCCGAATTTTACATAAGGTTCCCCAAACTTCCTTCATCTCTGTTGTCTTAGTCATAGTAATTTATGCCATCTATATTTCCAGAATTGACATAAGCAAAAAGAGAATTGATATAAAATTAGTTTTACTATAAGTGTGATGTTTGAGAATGGAAAATGATACCCTGATCAGAAATGTCTCTCTCCAACACTCTTAGCAGCCTATAAAATTATACATGTGTAAGATAAAAATTTTCCTCAAGATAGAGACCACATTTAATGAGTATTTATAATGTAGTCTCTACCCAAGCCTTGTCTATGTCATGTAAGTCGTCAATAATTTTTTTATTGAGTAAACTCTAATTTTCTCTTCTAGATCTGTAATATGTTCCCTGTTCTCCTTGACTTCTTTCCTGGGAGTCATAACAAAATATTTAAAAATATTACATATATAAATATTTATATTTTGGAGAAAATATTGGAACACAAAGCATCTCTTGATATTAATAATCCTCGGGACTTTATTGATTGTTTCCTTATCAAAATGGAAAAGGTAAAAATTAATGACAGTTGTTTTTCTACTTAATTGCTTGTGTAAATTATGGTTCATGGAATTGTTCTGTATTTATCAGGGATGTTTCAATGGTCAGTGGCTAAGGCTTCCAAGCTATTTCTTATCTACATTGTATGTGCCTGTACACTAAGTATTATGGAAGTCATAAAATTAAACAGCTAATTAAGTGGAATACATTAATCTTGTTTCTAGATACTAATTTCAGTATTGTTTTGGCTGTTCTGGTTCCCGTGTATTTCATTATGAATTTAGCATAATGTAATTTCTGCAAACAAGCCAGTGAAGATTTTGATACACCTTGCTTGCCTTGGATGTGAGACAGTAGAAAATGATACTTGAGTCTACTGACCTCCAGTGTTTTGAATACCATATGGGAATTTTTTTAGAACTGAACATGCAGTTTACTTTTGGTGAAAAATTTGTAACAGTCTGAATATTTTTGGACTAACTGTAATTCTGGCAAATTAATTTTTCAAGTCATTTCATCTTTCCTAGGAAAAACACAATCAAGACTTGGAATTAACTTTAGAATCCTTGGCAGTTACTGTATTTGATCTGTTTGGAGCCGGGACAGAGACTATGAGCACCACCCTGAGATATGCTCTCCTCCTGCTGCTGAAGCACCCAGAGGTCACAGGTATGACCAATGTGGTGGGCAGGGTGAGTTTCAGGGAAGTTGCTGAAAGACACTACACTACTACAAGTACTGCATTGCCTCCTGTTTCTCTTAGAGAACCTTCATTATTTAATTATCTATCTGACGAGCTTAATGTTCCCAAGTGTAATGAAGATATAATAATGGGACATCTTTATATAATATGGGAGGATGAATAGGAGTGAAGTCTCCATGGGCAGTCAGAAAAGCCATCAGGTAGTGACTGCATTTCACGGGAGCTTATTTGTGGCAGGCACGTCCATATGAATCAACGGGGACTGCATATTGGTTTTCCTAAGAATGTCCCTTTGAAAGTAGGTATATTACCCGAGATCTCTCCTATTCTGAAAATGCATGTTCTAAAGCTAGGGGAGAAAAATGAAAATCTCCCTATTAAACATAAGTGGAAGGCTTTGAAATCTTGCTGTCTGCCTAAGATAATTTCTGCAGTCAAGGAAGTGGTCAAAAAATTAAATCACATATGTGTGTTTCTACCACTCAGGCTTAAGATGTGCATGAAAGTTTTGAATCCAGAAGTCTGTTTCCAGTGAAGTGATATTTGCCAAAACAGAATATTGCAGGCCCATGCTTTTCTGTCTTTTACAAAGATCTTTATGTTTTATATTTAATAAGTTGCAGTTTTGCATTATGGATAGAAACATGCATTATATTATCCTGTGAGGAACCTGCTGAAATGACTATAGCCAATGAGAAATGAGAATGTGTCCTTGAAATCTGGACAGACTAACTCAGGAAACAATTAACAAATACAGTTTCTAAAACACAAATAGCATTTTGATCAGTGATGGTGACTTAGTAGAGAGGTGGAAGTTGTCATCTAAATGTCAGAAGAGGGGCCTCCCTGGTGGCGCAAGAGGTTAAGACACAGCCTATGAAGCTGTCCCCAGCCTCTGCAGCACGAGTTCGATCCTGGGCCAGCCAGGGGGCAACCCACATGGTGCAGCAGACCTCTCCTTACTCACCCGCTGCTCCCCTCAGCAGTGTACTTCCATCGATCTGCCTGTTCTGTTCCCTCGTCTGTCTCTGGTGAATCCTCTCACCTCTGGCCTGTACCCCTGCTCTTATATGCATAAATAAATAAATCTTTTTTTTTTTTTAATGTCAGAAGAGACATATATAAAGATGTCATTTGTATCCCTCTAGGTGGTAGCATTTGGCAGTGTCAAAAAAGAATGAGGAGAAGTAGGCAGAAGGTAACTTTCCCTGCCCAGATTCCCTCCACACCTTGTTTTATCAGGTATTTTTTTTTTTATCCAATAGAATGAGAGAGGTTTAATATATAGAGAAGCTGAACCTAAAAGACCTGCCCTCTGGACCTCCCCTGGTGGCACAGGCGGTTGAGCGCCACACTGTGAAGCTGTCTGCAGCCTCTGCAGCGCTGGTTCGATCCCAGCCAGCCGGTGAGGGTCCCACATGGCGCTGCAGACCACAGCCTTTGCACTCGCTGCACCCCTCAGCAGAGTATTTCATCAGTCTGCCTGTGCTGCTCTCAGCTCTGTCTCTGGTGAATCCTATCACCCTCGCACGCATCTGGTCTGTACCCTGGTTCTTGTATAAAAAATAAAAAAAATAAAAAGTAAATAAAAAATAAAAGACCTTGCCCTCAGAGACACTGGCAGGTGGAAATAGGTTAGGTAAGAAAATCTATTTCTTGAATTCAGAGAATCTTAGCTCCTTTTCTAGCTTGTTTCCTGAAATTCAGCAGTAGGAGAATAAAGTCCAGAGAGTGAACAGCTCTGGCATTATAGATAGGAAATTTGCCTTTGTGCTAATATATAAGTATTAAATTTGTACCTTAATTCTAGCTTATAAGAGAGTTAGATGTATCTATATTATGGCTATTATCTCTCTAGGTCTAGGTATGTTTCTTGGTACAGGGCTGAGGTTTTTAATGATGTCGGGAGACTGATACAATGCTCCATGTATCCCTTAACTGATAAGCAGATGTGATGGGTGTTCTCTTTTCTCATCAGTCTTACTTGTGTTTTGTCAGCTAAGGCGCAGGAGGAGATAGAACGTGTGATTGGCAGACACCGGAGCCCCAGCATGCAGGACAAGAGCCACATGCCCTACATGGAAGCCTTGGTGCACGAGGTCCAGAGATACATTGACATCGTCCCCGGGAACCTGCCCCATGCAGTGACCCGTGACATCAGATTCAGGAACTATCTCATCCCCAAGGTAGGTTGGTTGTGCTTTTACTGACATCATGATTCTACTGAGATGTTCCCCTTTTCACAGCATGGGTCCAATCCTCCGGACTAGATGAACAAATTATAAAAATCATATATGTGGCAGGTTGATGGGTTTTGCGTTGTTTCTGTTTGAGACCAAATTTTGATAATAGCACCTTTCTATTTATATGGGTAAGAAACATTTGTGATTGGTGGTGTACTTTCCTGATGATTACAGTTTGTTCCAGGGGTTAGGATCAAATTCACTGTTTTCAGGCCTCCCTAGTGGCGTAGCGGTTGAGCGCTGGGTTGCAGGCTTCCCGCAGCCTCTGCAGCGCCGGTTTGATCCCCGGTTGCTCCCCGGCCACCGGAGGAGGGTCCCACATGGCGTGCAGAGGTCACCTGCCGCCCACTGCTCCCCTCAGCAGTGTACTTCAGTCCTTCTGCCTGCTCTGCTCCCCACTCTGGCTCTGGTGAATTCTCTCACCCTCCTGCGCTTCTGACTGTACCCAGTGCCTGTATGTATAAATAAATAAATTAATTTAAAAAAAATTCAGTGTTTTCACCAAATGAGGAGAAGAGTTCATTTCGAATATTGGTGTCAAAGAGCAATATTTAATTGAACTCATTCTGCTATTTCAAGGCCAATAACCATAGGGCACTGGGCTAAGTAGGATTGTACATGTTTCCCATCTGCCCCAGTTGGGAATGTTCATTCCCCTTTTCTTGGGATATACCGACATAGACTAGGCAGCACTGCAGGGCTGAGTGTGCCTTCTACCATTTACATAATGTTTTCTAATCCAAACTGGATCCATGGATCAAGGTACAGTCTAAGACAGAAATTGGTAAAAAAAACTTTCCCTAGTGGGCCAGATTTTAAACATTTCAAATTTTATGGGGCTTGGAGTATCTGATGCCAGTGTTGACATCTGTTATTGCAGCAGGGAATCCATCACAGACATTTGTAAACAAGTGTGAGTGACTACTTCTCAATTTTATGAAAGCCCAAGTTTAGACTTCACATGCTTTTCATGTGCCAAAGATATTTATATTGCCTCAGTTTTTTTCAATGGAAAACACTTACCTCCTGGGCTGACCCAAAACATAGCATAGACTTGATTGCAAATGGTTTGTTTTTTTTTCCGTGTCTGTCTAACAGCACGCTTTGAAATGATGTGAGGTGATTTGTGTTTTTTTGGGACCCATCTGAAGGAAATTTTCCAGCCCAAGGTTCAAGGTTTACCTTCATCTATTTTTGAAACTTATCATTTTAGTTCCTATGTTTAGTACTGATCCATTCAACTTATTTTTACTTTTGTAAAAGCAGTGGTGAAGTAGTGGTCATGCTTCTGTATGAGTACCATTGTTTGAACAACATTTAATGAGATTATTTTTGCTGTATTTTTTTTTGCTTTTTTGTATTTTAAAAATGTTTTTCATATTTGATTATTTCAATATAAACAGAAATAATTTTTCCAATAGAGATATAGAATTTTTATATGGTAAACTTAGGGAATGGAATTTTCTCCAAATTTGCACTAAATTTTTAAAAATCTGAATACATGTATATATAATGGATGAATCCATCAACCCTGCATACCCCAGGTCTTCAAAGTGTATATCCAAAAAACGATTTTTAGACAGAAAAGCAGATTTCACAAGAGTTACCATTATGAAATAATGTTTAATGTGCAACCTATGTAGTGTTCCCAGCTTTCATAAACTATCCCAGAAGAGCTTTTCTTTTTTTTGTATTCCATCAAGGAACCACATACAATTTGTTTGTCTTTTCTGTTTAGTCTCCCGGGATAAGTTGCCTTTGCACTGTTTGTTTCTTTCAGTTCATTCAGGTTTGTGAAGAGTCTGGCTGTGGTCATAAATATATTCCTCAGAGTTATGTTGTGCAAAGTTTCCTAGAGACTAGATTCCCATTATGATTTTGCCCAGAGAAGTACATAAGTGCTCTGTATGTCCCACTGAAACCCGTGAGGCAGCTGAGGGCACATGAAGTCACTTATTCCATTATGGCCATGCTATGTTCCCCACATAATATCATGGTACCTGCCAGATTGTGAGTATGGTGCTACCGAACCGTTCATCCAATCCTAAATCCTTTGATAACAATCAATTGAATAATGATCATAAGATAGTTGTTGCAAAATGACTATATTTCTCCTTTTGTCATCCTTTCTGTTTGTGGCTAGGATCAATCTGTGATGAAATCTACCCCATGTTTTTGAATTAATAGAAACAACTTGCTGGGGCAGTGGTAAAAACACTAAGAGTTGTTACTGTACTTACTATTATCACCTAAGTCATTTTTAATTTGATTGTCTGATTGCAAAATGTCTATGGATAACTTCAGACATTTCAAGCTTAGATAGAGATTTCCATTTGTAAGCATAATCCATATATGAGATGCATAAATACTGAAATGATAAAATCAAGGCACTGACGAAGAAATACCCTCAGATCTAGATGTCATGAACAGAATGGCTTCAGAGGCCTGGCACTGAGGGTCCAGGTACTCACTACTTCAGGTGCCACTTAACAGCATTACAGCCACTGATCTTATGCTCATTCTTGTTATTACTTATTCTGGCTGACTTAGAAGGCTCTTTACCTTCATGGTGTCAGGTTTTTTTTTAATCTTTAGATGCTAAGATTGGACTAAATGATTTGTAGTTTTTCATGCAGCTACACGACTTCATAAGGCTGTTTAAATCTTTTCTTCCAGGGCACCACCATATTGACGTCACTGACTTCTGTGCTGCATGATAGCAAAGAATTCCCCAACCCAGAGGTGTTTGACCCAGCCCACTTCCTGGATGGGAGTGGCAACTTTAAGAAGAGTGACTACTTCATGGCTTTTTCAGCAGGTAGTGTATCTTTTGTATTCTTTGTGCATCAGAGGACAAAATACCTTGTGAGGATTGTTAGGAACTTCCATGGTACCCTCTCCAAGGCTGGTGCAGGTGCTCTTGTCCGTTAGCAGGAGCACCGAACCCTGTGTCCATGCACTTTCCCTCCTCATGATTCAGTCTTCTCTTTGAGCCAGATCACTGCAGAACTGGGGAATTGATCCAGTTCTTCAAATTCAGAAATGATTTAGTGGGAGGTCCTGAAAATATGAGGGTCATGCATCTTACCAAAGGAACAGCACTGCAAGGTAAAACCTGAAACTTCACCGTGCATTGAAGAGTGGTAGAGAGCAGGTCTACTTGGAGTGCAGAACTGAGACAGTGAAGAATGAGAAGATCATGAACCACCAGATCCACGCGGAAGAAAGCACGACCAGAGTATGTGTTTCTAGAAAAATATGGCTGGAAAATTGAGGTGTCAAACAGGCAGTTATAATGGAGATCCTTAATGAACTATTCAGTACAGTGCTGATACTGAGTAAACATTTGTTGTGAGGAGGATACCTGTTCCTTTAACATTCAAGTCAGAGCACATGTTTCAACCCTTTGTCCAGCTATAGCCAACCATCCCGTTCCATCCATCCATTCACCCTGTCATCAAATATTTATTGAAATTCCCTTTCTCTTTTTTCCATTTCCACTTGAAGCTTTATTTATTTTTCTTTTACATCATCGTATTCTCCATAGTTCTCCTGCCACTGTATCTCCCACCAGCCATCACCATATCCCTTGGATTCATCCCTCCCATTTTGCTCCTTCCCCAATTTCCCTCCCTTCCTTTGTTTTATGGCTCATTTCTGTGGTCAGCTGCTAGTTTTGACTTTTCTTGACCTTTTGTTTGGTTTCTCTATATTCTCCTTGCAAGTGATACCATCCGGTATGTTGCACATTCCTTTTCTGTCGTCAGAAACACTGTGTTCAAGGATCATTTCTTCTGTGTGCTTGTTATTTTCAGGAAAACGGGTATGTGTAGGAGAGGGCCTGGCCCGCATGGAGCTGTTTTTATTCCTGACCACCATCTTACAGAAGTTTACCTTGAAGTCTGTTGTTGACCCCAAGGACATTGACCCCACTCCAGTTGCCAGTGGGTTGACTTCTCTGCCTCCTCCTTACCAGATCTGCTTCATTCCTTTGTGAGGCTTCTGCTGTGATGTCCACATCTCCCACTCACCTGATGCCCCTGTCATCTCCTTTCATCTTCCTTCCCTTTCTGGAAAAGTCATCTCCGACCTCTCCTCTAATCATCACCCCATTCTGTCAGGATCCAGGCATGAACATCCCAGTTTCACTCAACAAATATATGTATAGCTTCTCCTCGCTCTGTAACATTGTATTGGGTAGCTCATATGCCAATACTTATCTGGTATTGAGTAGTTAGTTCTGTGTCATCAGTGTGACAGTGTGAGATGGTTGATGTATGTAATACAGACATTTCTCCTCTGCATTTTCTAAATAAAACTCACAATCTGATGAACTATTTCTCATGCTTTCATTCCTTTGTGTATAATGCAGATAGCAAATGAAAGAAAATGTTATACAAACAGACCATGCAAGAAAAGGACAAAATCTTGAGGGTAGACCAGGGTGTCACCTAGAATTACTTGCAATTTGGATTTGCAAGTGAGAAAATGTTTTCATGAGCAGCTTCATCTGAAGAAAAGTATGATATCAGCGATTCAAAAGTGTCTATTTCTATCAAGTTCTAGATGAGGCAAAAGTAATCTGTGGTGCTAGAATCCCCAGCCACTGGCGAGGGTCCCACATGGCGCACAGACCTCTCCTGCCACCCGATGCTCCCCTCAGCAGTGTATTTCGTCAGTCTGCCTGTTCTGTTCCCCACTCTGGCTCTGGTGAATTCTCTCACCCTCCCGAGCTTCTGACTGTACCCAGTGCTTGTATAAATAAATAAATAAATCTTAAAAAAAAAAAAAAAAAAGGCCAGGCACAGACAAGGACAAAAGGCTTGACCAGTTTGTGAACTAGAATTACTTGGAGTTTGGATTTGCAAGTGAGAGAATTTGTGTTCAGGAGCAGCTTCACCTGGGTTAAAATATGACATCAGTGATTCAAAAGTGTCTGTTTCTATCTTGTTCTAGAAAAGACAAAAGTAATCTCTGGTGCTCAAATCCAGAGCAGTGTTGATTGTGAGGATGGTGAGTGACTAGGAAAAGATCTCGGGGCTTTTCATGGAATTCAGATTTTTCTATGCCTTCTATGATATGTTACTTGGGTGTTGGTGTTCGAGTATCATGTGAGCTGTAGTTTTGTCTCAATCACTGATCAGTGGTTGTCACGGGTAAGGTAGAGGAGAGATGAGAACTGGAGGACTTGATTTTCAGGACAGTGAAAGCATTCTGTGTGATACTATAATGTTAAATACATGTCCTCCTATGCTTACAAAAATTCATAGAATGTGCAACACTTGAGGGAACACAGGTGTAATCTATGCACTTTATGTATAAAGTTAGTGTTGTTACATCAATTATAACAAATGGAACACAACAGGAGGTGAGGTTCCTAATGGTGGAAGAGACTGCATGTGGGTGGGGAGGAGATATGTTGGAACATGTACTTAATGTTTAGTTGGCTTTGAACCTAAAATTTTAATAAATATATAATCTATCAACAAAAAGAAAACCCCTAAATCACAAGTCTAGCCAAGGTGATTTTACATTATTCTGTGTCAGCAGAAAGCTTATGCCCTCTTGGTCATTGGATAGGTATGAGACAGCTATTTATATGAGATTTCACTGAACTTGAACAGGAAATCTGAGATTAGAAGATAAGGTCTTCTACTAATATAATGGTGTTTCATTATCTCACTGAGTCACCAACTGCTCATTTCAAAAAATAAAAGTTAGTTGGTTTTAGGGATCCTCTATATCTTTAAATTATGTTTGACTTTCACTCAATAAAAAGAAAGGGTCAATCAGGAGCCTCAGCAGAAGGTAAGTGGAATAGAGGAGGGACAGTAATTTCTCAAAGAATTGGGGCCTCTCTGGTGGTGCAATTGGTTAAGCCCAGTGCTGTGAAGTTATCCTCAGCCTCTGCAGCATGAGTTTGATCCCCAGCCAGCCAGGAAGCTACTCACATAGCACAGCAGACCTCTCCTGTCTCACCCGCTGCTTCCCTCAGCATGTATTTCAGTCAGTTCACCTGTTCTGCTCCCCACTCTGTCTCTGGTGAATCCTCTCAGCCCCTGCAACTCTGGTCTGTACTCTGGTTCTTAAATGCATAAATAAATAAATAAATAAATACCAACAACAACCAAAAACCAACCAAACAAAAAAAATTCTCAAAGAATAAAAGAGATGCTCTAAAAATGTGAATTTTTTTAATCCAATATAAGTAGGTATGGTTCTTTTAGAGTATAGAACTATGTGAAGAATTCAGCAAATGCTGATTTCCTAAGTTCTGGGCAAGGTTACATTGGGTCTCAGATTTACACAAGTTGCAAGATTATATAAGTAAACTTCTCTGCCCCCAATTTTAGTTAATAATGTAATTATTAACTAATTTAATACATTTGGAAAGTCATAGGAGAGGATGAATCATGCAATGTTGATTCACAGCACACATTAAGTAAATGTGGTGACCTGATGTACTAAATGTTTGCTTGGAAGGGATTGTGCATGAGTCAGGAGATGCAGGCTCTGGTGTCAGACTACCACCTGTAGGTATAATGCCCTTAGTCCAAGCATTGAATTTCCAGGGCAAGTTACCTCATCCTTGAAATGGGGCTAATTTTATCTCAGGCAAGATAATTGAAAGATCAAAGGAGATAAGATGGATGTGAAAATTCATGAGCAATAACACATTTTAGTTTGGTCTTGAAAAAAACTTATTTTTCCTTACCAATAGAGCTTAAAACTGCACTAATCAAGTTTGAACAAATATGACCATGTCTTTCTGGAACTCATGTTTGTAAAGCATTGTCATTAGTGACCTAGTAATGTAGGATAGATATTCCACTGATATTTAGGGTCTTGTGACCACTAAGTAGTCATCGTCCACCACCATAAATCATTGTGCTCCCACCAACTATGTCCTCACCACTTCCCCATCCTAGCAACCTCAGAATGCCTCAGTTCTCTAGTCAGCTTTCAAGGGTTAGTTCTTACATTTAGATTTATCTTTAAACAAAGACTTGGTTGGTTTCTGTGTATTCCACTTGTAAGTGACACCTCTGGTATTTGTATTTCTCCTGACATAATTCACTTTAGCTAGTTATGTGCTTGGTCATTGAAGTTTAAGTTATGTTAACTATTTTATATATAGGCAGCTGTAATAGAAATACAATATTTAAAAATATTTAAAGACCTTTCATTTTCCACAGCAAAATACACTTTGTTAATATAGCTTTATACCTTAATTGTTTTCAATATAAATGTGTAAAATACAGATTCTCCCCAAATTAAAATATTCCTAACTGGTCATTGCCTTGAGCTCAGAGATTTGAGTCATTTTGGTATGAAATTATTTTCAGCATTGGTATTGAATCCTTGCTGCATTTGGAACCAGTTTTTCTTTCTTTCTTTTTTTTTTTTTTTAAAGTTATCAATACATGTCCGTTTCCAGTAGGATTGAACTAAAGGTCCAGAGTGATGACTGGAGAGAAAGAAAACAAAACTAAAGAACAATTTCTTTTTATCTTTATCAATGGACCAAAGGCCAAGGTGTGGAGAATATGAGTAGATGTAGCTGATTGGCCTCTTTGTATATCAGAGCAGCATAAGTTAAAATAACAAGGGGTGTTGTTATAAAAGCTTTAGAATTCACCCTCAGGTTCTGATAAGAAGAGAAAGCTACAATGGATCTGGCTGTGGCCCTAGTGCTCTCTCTCCTGTTTGCTCCTCCTTGCTCTCTGGAAACAGACTTCTGGGCAAGGGAAGCTCCCACCTGGCCCCTTGCCGCTTCCTGTTATTGGAAATATCCTCCAGTTAGATGTTAAGGATATCAGCAAATCTGTAAGCAACATGAGTATGTTTTATGTTCCTCTGTGATTTGCAAATGGTAATTAAATTAACTACAATTTTCAAATAGTTCTTTATTTTCCCCTCAATTTTTATGATAAAATATGGTATGGTAGCATATTATTCAAGTAGGTCTTGAAAAATCAAATGCTCCAAGTTATTTTGATATTTCTCTGTGTTCAGTGAGTAAACAAACAGGTTTTGTGTGGCAGAATTAAAATATAAAGTGACAAAAGGGAGGAGTGTTGCTCCCTTCTTTATTTTACTACCATTTGCTATGATTTTGGCAGAAGGTTACTTCTTGTTATGATTTTGTGATTACAGATTTTATTCCAGAAGTCATCTACTACATGGCTGTGTGTTTTGTTGAGATTGTACTAAATTTAACATCTCTGAATAAGCACACTGTGTCTATCTCAAGAAATGACTCTGGGCTCAGGAAGAAGCATGAGTCCCTGAAAAGACATAACCAGTCAGGACAAAACTGTGCGAACATCATTCACTTGGGTCTACACAGCTGGTGTCTGATCTCAATGAGTATTCTGGGTGGAAGAAATCGTTCTTCCTTGAGATGCCTTCACCCTGACAATGCCTCTGTGGTGCCCACTCTGTCTGTGTTAGTAATACCAGCAGATCACAAGCTGGGCTGGCATTAGATTTACCTGAACTGATCTTTTAAAATACCAATTTCTAGGATTCATCACAACTTCCTGTGCTACTGTATCAAAACTTCCACAAGAGGACTCTGTAGGTGATCCTGAAGCAGTCAGCTGGGTTTTGGAACAAAGGTGGAATCTGAGGATATTCGTCAAGGATCAGAGAACAATTAAGAGGCTCAAATCTGAATCTTCTGTATAATGGCCAAGGGATACTAGAAATAAATTGAAATTGTCTGATCTTAATTTCCTTATTTGTAAGCAGGGCAAATAAACTTGGTGAAGGTTCAAATGTAAGGGTAATAGTGACCGATGATCAAATAGTTAGGCTAGGCCAATCCTGGCACATCCCAGGCCATCCATAAGTGGCAACTCTACAATCACCCATATTGATGTCTTAAGTTCAGAAATACTGAGGCTGTGTGGGGCAGCCTACCAATATGAAAGTAGTATTCTGAATTAGGCAAAATACATTATTAAGCAATGACTTTTTTGTTATGTGCACGTGCTTTCCCAGCTCTCCAAAGCCTATGGCCCTGTGTTCACTCTGTATTTTGGCA